CCTGGGCAGGGGCATTGCTGGCCGGAAGTCATTGGCTGGCAAAGTGGCTGAGAAGAATCCTGCATTAAAAGAATTACACTGGCCATTCCTGACCTGAAGATACATTATTGGGTGAAAATACACTTACCCATGCACTGTTACAGATTCCGCTGTTGATTGGTTTTAGGTTTCCTAAGCGACCTTTGCCTTCCTTATCATGGGACAAACAATTTTTGTCTTATTCCTCATTTTTTTTTCTAGCATAGCTTTTATAAAATTATGTTCTTTTGCCTCCAAATAAATACATACCCATTCACTTCAAGTTCCAACTGTGTACTCAAGATCAGTGACTGTATTTAGGTTTGTACCTGACATTGAGCTGTATGTGCCATTTTCTCATTGTCTTCTGAAAGTGGTGCCACTTAGTCCCTATCCTTATTTCTAAACTACCCTTCCATAAATTCATCTCTCTGGGTACTTCTTATCTACTAGGTCGGCTCCTGGTTTGGATTAACCCCTGAACTCACAGGAGTGATTCTCCACACTGAGTCCTTGGTCTCAACCCTGGGTCATACTCACCCTTCATCGCAAACAAAGGACACCTTTGCTCCAAGCTGGAGATTGAGTGGAAACAGCACACGGCCATGAGGAAGTTGGCCCAGGAATTCATCACAGTATTTCACTAGAAGAAAAAAATAAAACAACAGGAGTAAGACCTCCATGTGAGAGGGAAACAGCAATCTGGAAGCCAGAGAGTCAAGGCACCTGTACATATGGGGGCTTCAGGGCTCCAGTCTCCCTGGGGCGTGCAGTGCAGAGACGCAGCCCCTCTGAGGTCATAGCCGGGCTCACAGCTGTAGAACACTTCCTGCCCAGGTGAAAAGTCCTGATGGCTTGGAGTGTGCTCACCATGCAGGATTTCTGGAGGCGGCTGACACACTGTGGAAAGGACAGTTCCAGAGTACTTGTTACTTACGGGGGAATTTCTTTTGCTATACCCTATGCTTGCTGAAGGCCTCATAGCTAGTAAAAGGTAGAGATATAGAACCCAATTCTCCCTAGCACAAGGCCCCAAACTCACTTGTAAATCTACAGGGTACGAGGTATTTTCTCCTAGCTCTGGCTATCCAATGTGGAGTTACTAGTATTGGTGGATTCTCCATCTACATATTTCCTATGAAGGTAATCCCGATTTGTACCATTGTTATTCAGGTAATGAGACTGTCACCTGAGACCAAGTCTGTTTTATAGATTTCCTCCCATTTCTCTGATAGCACACCTATGACTAAAGTGCAGTCATACTGTTTCAGGACAGGCATGACCCTAAATTGGGGCTTACTCTGGAAGGGTTCTTGCCTCACCCAGGACAGAATTCAAGGATAAGCCAGTGGTGCCAGACAGCAATCTTTTAGAAAGGCACTGCCCCTGCAGAGCAGGGCTAACTCACAGGCAGTACACCCAGAGTCAGCAACATATGAGCTCCTGGCAGCCAACTGTATTTATACTCCTGTAAGCCCGCTTCAATTACATGTAAATTTTTTTTAAACTCATTTGTTTATTAATATAGAAAAGGAGCCCAGGGCAGCTGGACCAGTAGTACAAAGCACCAGGAGTTAATACCATTCTGGTGACAGGGTTGGTTTTACAAAAATGAAGGAGCAGGCGGGAGCTGCCAGGTTCTGAGGCCAGGCCCAGCCTACTGCCCAGAATCCCTGAAACAGCTCCCTGGGAGAGGGCTGACAGGTGGGTCGGGGTGGATTGAGCTGGAAACCCTGGGGACAGATGGGAGGGATAGAGGGTCATGCAGTGGGAACCACTCAGTGGCTGGCAAGGACAGGGAACTGGTGGCTGGAGGCTCCCCATTGGGCCATGGGTAGGGGCTTGCAGATGGCCTCAGCTCTGGGGCCAGGTAGAGAAACTGCGAGACTGATGGGCATGGAGAACCCAGACATAGCCCTGGGGCTGAAGGGCCTTTCTACCCTTTCTTCCACCTTTGCTCTATACTACATGTGGGGCTTCGGGGCCTAAGGCACAGGGGAGGCTCAGAGGCTTCCAGTTAGGAGGAAGATGGGGCAAGGAAGGAAGCACTTGAGTGTCCCTAGCTTAGGCAGCCAGGGATGAGACACAGGTGGGACAACAGCACCCCCACATAGTGGGGCTAGAATGTGGGGCAGGGAAGGGCTTTTCCTCAGCCAGTGACCAGGACCAGCCCCATGGCAACGGTGCCTGTCTGGAGCCTTAGCAAATCAAGTGTGCAACAAGCACAGGGTGTTGGCAGACCTGGGCTCTAGCCAGAACTTGAATCACACAGAGCTGTATCACCATGGTCCAGCCATGTCCTGCCTTGGCCTGTTTCCTCCTCTGTCAATGAGAGCTTTGAATAAGACCTTCTAGGTCATGAAAAGGACTCTGCAGGTGAAGGGAACTCTAGGACCTGCTCTTGGCGGTTAACCAGACCCTGGATGGAACTGGTATGGGATGGGGTGAAGTGGGGCATGGAGGAGGAAGGTGTTCTTGCAGGGAACCTATCCCACAAACACTGCAGAGCTAGGAAAGGCCACTGGAAGCCCTTCTTTGCCCAGAGGAAGAAAGGCCACAGAGAGAGCGAATGTGGCTCGGTGCAATCCCTTCACATCCTCCACCATCTGGGTAACACTTGGCAAGAAGTGGATGGGTGACATTGTGCAACCCTTTATGTTCTTCTCCAGGGGTGGCACTGAAGGCCTCTTGTGGCTTCTGCCTTCAGCCTTTAGTGTGGGATCAAGAGTGTTCTTTTCACTGTGGTCCTGTTCTGGGAACAGCCTAAGACTCTGCCTGGCTGGCACATGTTAGTTGGTGAGGAAAGGACAGAGTGGGTGAGTAAGCAGACAGGGAGGCAAGAGTGACTCTCTGGCTTTCTCCTCTTCCTCTTCAGAGAGCGACTCAATCAACTGAGTCGCAGATCTTCTCCACCACAGCATTGAAGATGTGTGGCTGGTCAGCATAGACGTGGTGAGATGCACCCTCAATCTCCATGTCTCCGACATAGGAATCCGGCCGCTGCATCTTCACCTTTTTTCCCGTACTGGTATCTATACAGCTGTTGGACCCATAGATCATGGTGATGGGCACACCTTTTCAAATCAAGTGAATTCGCTCCAGCATAGGGTGCTGGGCCCAGCCAAAGGACTCCATCATGGCTTTGAATACCATCTCACCACTGGGATTCTGTGCATTGCAGTGATAGATATACTCTGATATGGTATCATCTTCAAAGAAGTCTACAAACTTGCGTTTGAATCCGGCGAGAATCGCTGCACCAGGCCAGGCCCCCAGGGCCCAGCTACTCGAAGAACAGCCAATGGATTGGAACGTCCTAGGACAGATGCCACAGCTTTGACCCAGGTTGGGGGTGCACGGATCTCACTGGGGTTAGTTGGTCAGAGGGGAAAGCCCCATGAGTCCACCAGGATGAGGTGTTTAACTCTATCAGGGTACTTGATTGAGTAAGAAGTGGCCAGGAATCCTCCCAAACTGTGCCCCAGGAGGGTCATGCTGGGGATCCCCATGGTCTCCTGCCACGTCTCTATCGATGTCACAAACTCATCCTCAGCCCCCTCCGGGTCCCTCGGGAATGCTGGCCTTGAGCATCGCCCAAAGTCAAGCAGATGGAAGGTGTGCAGTGTGCAGCGGGCACTCAGTGAGTCCATGTTGAGGACCCAGAGGCCCACACCGCCCCCAAAACCGTGCACCATCACCAGGGGGGTGTGGTCCTTTTGCTCGGGGCTCACAGTCACTGTCCAGATCTTATTCTGGTTTGGGAGGGATACATATCTGGCCAGGAACTTATTCTGGAGACACTGGAGGATCCTGGCTTCCACATTCTTCAGCTGAGACATGGAAGTGGGGCGCCACGTGGGCAGCCAATTACTCAGCCAGCCTTGAGGATGCTGCTCCAGATCATCGGCCATAGTAAACAACTGCTTTCTGTTTTGTGTGTGTGCGTTTTTGTTGTTGTTGTTGTTGTTGTTTTTGAGGTGATATCTCACTCTATCACCCAGGCTGGAGCACAGTCGTGTGATCTTGGCTCACTGCAACCTCTGTGTCCCAGGTTCAAGTGATTCTCCTGCCTCAGCCTAATGAGATTTCAGGCGTGAGCCACCTCACCCAGGTAATTTTTATATTTTTATTAGAGACAGGGTTTCACCATGTTGGGCAGGTTGGTCTTGAACTCCTGACCTTAGGTGATCTGCCCATCTCGGCCTCCCAAAGTGCTGGGATTACAGGCATAAGCCACCATGCCCGGCCAGTTACATGTAAGTTAAGGGGCATATCAATGCAAATTGAGGGGGGTGTTATTTAGAACTTTCCTGGAAAGGGGTGGTAACTTCCAGGTTGTTGCCATGGCATTTATAAAATGTCATGGTGCTGATGGGAATATGAGGGCAGCTAGCGATTGCTTTCATCGCCATCTGCCTGTTCCTGCTGTTTTTTTCACTTCATCCTATCTAGGACAGATTCTGTTTTGGTCAGCAGGATTGTGACCAGAACACAAGCCCTGCCAATCTCCTACCTCAATACATCCGTCCTTATATCCCTTTATCTGTTTGTCTTCCCAGTTCAGTGGTTGCACAAGGCTAACATGGGTTGGTAGAAGAATGGTAAGCTCTTTCTCTGTCCCTATGTATCAGCCATAACACCTCCCACTCAGCTGCTAAGCCAGCTATTGTGGCATCAGTAGACAAGATGAGCCATCAAAAACACAAGGCCTTAAATAAGCCAGTGTTGTTGTAAACAATAAATGAGATAATGTATATAAAGCGCTTAGGGCACAGCTGACTATAAAGTCCATAATTTTTCAATATAATTGAGAGAGATTGGAGCTGGTACTTTGCCCTGAGAACTGATTAATAGGTGAGTCCAAAATAGCTTTTTTTCTGGCTAATTAAGGTCTTGCTTTTTAAAATGAAGACACATATGCTGGGTGCATGCACACTCCCGATTCTTAATTTCATGCTGCTTCCCCTCAAAATTACTTTCCCACCCTCCTCACCACACATCCCTCCCCTGAACAAATACTAATCTCCAGCACTTTGGGAGGCCAAGATGGGTGGATTGCTTGAGTTGAGGAGTTTGAGACCAGCCTGGGCAACATGGTGAGACTCTATCTGTACAAAAAAACATAAAAATCTTAACCAGGCGTGGTGGCATGCACCGATAGTCCTGGCTATGTGGGAGGCTCAGGCAGGAGAATTGCTTGACCCAGGGAGGCAGAGGTTGAAGTAAGCCATGATCACACCACTGCAGCCCAACCTGAGTGACAGAGCAAGACAGTATCTCAGGCAAAACAAAACAGACAAACATAGAACAACTGGTAACTACCTAATAACTTTGTTTTAAGTATTAAAATTCACACGTAGCCTGTATCATAGTGCCTGGCCAGAGGAATCACTCATTTTGTATCAACAATTGTTATACTCAAAAGTAATTGACAGATCTGTTTATAAGAACCCCAAAGAAACATCATATTCCTTGCCCAGGTTGAGCTTTGCTTCTCAATTTCAGAACATGTATATGTACACACACCTTCTGAATTTCACCTTCACTATCTAGAAAATTTGCTCCCTGACCCTGCTCAGTACACATCCCTCCCCCTGAACAAATACCGATCACCTGATCCAATAGCAACTCATGTCATTTGCAGGGACCTTCTAGGCCTCAGTCAGACTCACCCCTGGAGCAGCTTGGTAACTCTGGCTCCCATTTGTTCAGGGCCTGGCATTGCACATGGCGGGGTCCTTTCATGACAAAGCCAGGCTGACACCTAAACTCCACAACTTCATTTAAGGAAAATAAGCTTCTGTTGACAGATACCAATATTCCATTTTCCACATTTGGAGGCGTACATTTGTTAGGTATAATGCACTGAGGGGCCGGGCCGCTCCAGATGCCCACTTGGTCATCTTTGCTGGTGCAGTATATGGAGGGCTCACCCACGAGCTCAAACAGCTTTTGCCTTCCGCTTCCAAGATTGCAGCGGTAGGTCACCACGGATCCGTAGGGAAAATACTCTCTGCTGGTGCTAAAGAAATCTCCATTGGCGATGGTGGGGGGTAGCCCACAAGGAATTACTGGGAAAAGGAAGAGCATAACAGTCAATTTAAATAATGAATGACAAAAATCTCATGAGTCACTAAACTGTAACTATTTTTACATTCATTATTTGCTTTTAATCTTTGCTAACATGTAGGTACATTTTTACAAAGTTGTAATTTCGGTGGGCATAATATGATGTGTCCTGCCTTTCTTACTTATGTGATTTCCTATAATATTTGCATGCATGTATTCACTCAATCCACATTCTTTTCATTTTACATAGCTCTTTGATTATAGTATTATAGAGTTTACACCGTTTTCTCCTACTCTTTTCCATTTGCTTTCTTAATTTGCATTTTTGTTATTAACTGAGGTTAGCTGTTTTAGGAAAACAAAATATAAAAACCTTCACTAAAAGATAAATTATAAGGGAAGAGAGAAGACACAAATATACACATTAGGAAAAGGAATTTAAACATTGTTATGGATATGAGAATATTTATAAAACTGTAGACTACTGGGGGTTAAATATTTTGAAAATCTAAATGATATAAATGGAAATATAAATTGCCAATATTCATTCAAAAAAACGTAGAAAGCTAGAATTACCCAAGAAACATGTAAGAAGAATAAAAAAAATAAGTTCTATTGAACTTTTAAGTAACATATGCTTCCAAATGTAGTTTCAACATTTCACAACATACAAAAGATATAAAACTTATCAACTCATTTACTCAAATCTAAATTTGATACAATAACATATCTGTGTAAAAGTGGTCATTTATTAGTCCACAAAAACCCCTAAATGTATGTTAACATACAGACCAAGACATAGAAGAATAAAGCCTAGCGTGTTTAAGTGAAGTCCTGTCATGAGAGGAGAGAGATAACAGATATAAACAACATTTGAAGAAGTAATAACTGAGAAATTTCCAAGACTGATGCAAGATTACAGATTCAAAAAGTTATACAGGCCTGGCGTGGTGGCTCATGCCTGTAATCCTAGCACCTTGAGTGGCCCAAGTGGGCAGATCACCTGAGGTCAGGAGTTTGAGACCAGGCTGGCCAACATGTCGAAACCCCGTTTCTACTAAAAATACAAAAATTAGCCAGGCACAGTGGCACAGGCCTGTAATCCCAGCTACTGAGGTGGCGGAGGTGGGACGATTGCTTGACTCTGGGAGGTAGAGGTTGCAGTCAGCCAAGATCGCGCCACTGCACTCCAGTCTGTGTGACGAGAGTGAAACTCCATCTCAAAAAAAAAAAAAAAAAAAAACCACCTATATAAACCCAAGCAATACAAAGAAATACTTACCTAGATACAACATAGTAATATTGTAAAAAAAATCTATTTTAAAGTGTAATCCATTTTAAAAGCAGCAGGAAACATGGACAATAGCCTTCGAAGGAACCACAATTAGAAAAATGTTTAGAGAATTTGTTGTCAGAAGATCTACAATACAAAAATGCCAAAGAGACTTTTTCAGACTCAAGGAAAATAGTTTCATATAGAATTTATAGAATTGCAGTAAGAAGGAAACACACCAGAAACAGCTTATATGCGGGTATGTTTTCATTTAGGATCTTTATGATAGAGAGAACCTCTACAGTGATTAGAAGAAACACAAGATGGAAGTAAAGATTTTATTACGGCCTGAGGGTACACGCCATGCCTGAAGATCACAGAAAGGTTGGTCAGTGCAAGGAATGGAGAGAGAAAGAGAGAAGGGGACACATCGGCCAACACCTTTATTGGCGACTGGAGTATGACCCAGCAGGCATCTCCCATAGGGAGTTCCAACTGGTGAGTTTAAAGAAAGCAGGCACATGTTCCAGGAAGGCATGCTGCGACTGAGAGGTGGTCATGGCAGCATATCTGCGAAGTCCATGCAGGGCACAGAGGTCAGGGATGCGAGTCAAGTAGGTTTTATCTAGCTGTCCCATAGAGAGGTGGTCACCAGAAGGCAGTTTTATAAGGCAGATATCTGGCTCGACCACGTTGAAAACTGGGAGGAGGTACAGAACTAGAAAGGGCAATAAGGGTGACTAAGCTCTGCTTCTGGCATGAGAAAGCTAAACATATTCTAAATGGATGCTGAGGCAACATAAAAATTATAAGAATTCACTACCATGTAAATATAAATAGAGACTGTTTTTATAAAGACAACAACAATAATTATGTCTTTGAAATATAGAATATATGTAAATTGTTAAATCAAGTGTAGCCTGAAGCCTTACATAGTTTAAGCTCAGCCTCAAGGTTTCTCTGTGCACTGCGAACTGTAACAACCGAAGATGTAAACAGACCATAGACTACTCTTATGCCAATCATCGAGTTTTGGCCAATCAAATGTGGCCAACTGTTTGAACTATCTTCAAATAAGGCAAATGCTGAGCTATAACCAATCCGGCTGTTTCTGTACCTCACTTCTGTTTTCTGTGCGTCACTTTCCTTTTTCTGTTCATAAATCCTCTTCCACCACGCAGCTGGACTGGAGTCTCTGGCCTACTGTGGCTCGGGAGGCTGCCTGATTTGTGAATCGTTGGTTACTGAATTAAACTCTGTTAAATTTAATTCAGCTGAAGCTTTTCTTTCTGGAAAATGTATGACAACAATACAAAAAGAGGGAGAGGACACAAATGGAATTAAATATTAATAGTTTGGGTACTTGCATTGTTTGGAGAAAGGTAAAAGCACAATTTTAGTAGACTATAGTAAATCAAGGATGTCTATCTCTAGAGTAGTCATTTAAGAATAAAAAATGAAATATAACTTAAAAGCTACTGGGGAAAATAGAATAATAAAAATACTTGATGAATTCAAAAATGTGAGAAATGAGAAATAAAAGAACAAACACATGAAACAAATAGAAAACAAATAACCAAGAGTTAGACTTATCAGTAACTAGATTAAATTTATTTATTTATGTATTTTTAACTTTAATTTTTATTATTAAATTTAAATGTTTCAAACACTAATGAACAACGAAGACTGAATAAAACAACAAAACTTTACTATATGATGTTTACAAGAGACAAGCTTTAAATATAAGACAAAGAAAGTAAGAAAGAAAGCCTGTATAGCTATATTAATGTACAAAATAGATTTTAAGGCAAGAAGTATTATAAGAGGTAAAGAGAGACATTTCATTATGATAAAATAGTCAATTCAGCAGAAAGATAGAATAAACCAAAAATTTCATGTGTTTAATAACATGTTTAAAATACATAAAGTAAAGATTGCTAGAACAAAGAAGAAAGACAGGCAGATTCATAGTCATAGTTTGGTATTGTAATGGGTTGAATAACCACTGTCCTCCTTAAAAAATATCTATGTCCTAATCTCTGAAACCTGTGAAACGTGACCCAGTTTGGAGAGTCTTTGTAGATACAATCAAGTTAATGATCTTGAGTTGAGACCATCCTAGATTGCCACGGTCGCCTCTAAATCCATGCCCAGTGTCTTTACAGGAGACAGAAGAGCAAAGGAAACACACAGAGGAGAAGGCGACTTGAAGATGGAGGCCAAGAAGGAAATGATGCATCTGCAAGCCAAGGAACATCAAAGATTGCCAGCAGCCACTGGAAGGAAGTCTGGAGAGAGGCACAGAATAGCTTGCAGATGGAAGCAATCCTACTGACATCTTAACTGGATTTCTGGCCTCCAAAGTGTTAAGAGAGTAAATTTTTCTTCTTTGAAGCCACCAAGTTTGTAGTAATTTGTTACAGCAGCCCTGGGAAACTAATACAGATATTTTACACATGTCTGTCTATAACTGAAAGAACAAGTGGAGGGGGAAAAAAAGACTGTTCTAAACCACATTTTCCTAAATGACATTTCTAGAAAATGAAACAAAATAAATGTTCAGTCTTTTCAAGTGCATACATAAACTTTTACCAAAATGGTCCATATTCTGGGCCATAAACCTTGTCTCAAATGATTAAATTAATGAAAGAATGATAACTAGAAGATCTCCAAATATTTAGAAGTTAAGCAATGCCCTTCTAAATAGCCTATGGGTCAAAGAAGACATCAGAAGGTAAATTAGAAAACTTTTATGTACAATGATAATAAAAATATAAAGATTGTGGGAAGTAAAATAGTTTTAGAGAAAAATGTGTAGGTTAAATGTATATATTAGAGAAATAAAGGTTGAAAACAAATTATCTAATCAATATCAAGAATTTAGGAGTGGGGGAGTAAACAAAGCTTAAGAAAGCAGAAGAAAGAAAATAAGCAGAAATCAGTAAAAGAGAAAATAGTCATACATTAAAGTAAAAACAAGAAACTTTAAAGTAGTTTATGTGAAAAGCTTAGTAAAATTGATAAAACCCCAGTAAAACTAATTAAGGAAAAAGAAGCAAAGAGATATTACAAATATCAGAAATCAATTACCATAGGGGAATCACTACAGAATTACAGACATCCAAAGGATTTTCTAATATGAGGATATAATAAACAGCATTATGCTAATAATCTAGAAAATTTAAATACAATGAGTAAATTCTTTGAAAAATATAGCTTACCCAAACTAATTCAATATGATATAAAATACTAGTTTTACAGCTATTGAAGAAATTGAATCACTAATTGAAAACCTAACAACAACAACAACAACAACAACAGACCCTCAGGTCTGGATTGCTTCACTGCTGACTTCTTCCAAACATATAAGGAAAAATAATATTAATGTTACACAAATTATTCCAGAGACTAGAAAAAAAAAAAACAATTTTTAACACATTTTACTAGCCCAACGTAATCTTGATGCCCAAACCTGATAAGGACATTAAAATAAAACCAAATTATAACCCAAGATCTCTTGAGAACATAAATGCAAATTTTCTAAACAAAATATTATGAAACTGAATCCAGCGATATTTCCAAAGGATGATACAATGATCAAAGTGAGGTTTACCTTGACTGATTTTAAATATTAAATCAATGTTACAACGTTACAATAAAAATATGAGCAATCCTGCACACACACACCATACATGCTCACACACATTCCATAGATAGGATAATCATCTA